CGAACAGCTGCAGGGGGCCCCTATACTGAACACTGTCCGCACATTTTCCACAGGAGTTCAGCCTGGAAGATATCTCGCTGCTGAGGGTGACCTGGGAAGCAAGGGAGGGTCTTCTACTACAATGCGGCTTCCGCCCTGGCCCATATGCAGCTTGCCTGTGTGCAGCAATGTTCCCCCTGCCCCTCATGGCACAGTGGCGCGGACATGTTAGCCTGACTGGACAAAGACCACAGTGGCTCTCCCAAGAAACCTGCGCAAGTGCATTGCCCAAGTTCTGGCTGAGACCTTTGAAGAGATCACTGAGGTTGATTACCGCGATGTGAGAGAGCACATCAACGCCCTATCTAGGCATGTATGCAGCCCTAATTCTCCTTGCCCCAAGAGTCCACACCGAATAACTTCCTTCCTAAAATAAAAGCCGCTTACCGGGAACCTCCTCTGGTGTTTGTGCTTCCCCAAGCACCGGCTGCCACAACTGGCTACCTTCCTCCTGGCTTGAGAAGAGCTCCTGACTGCATGCAGCTAGGGATTCCGGAGTGTCTTCCTCCACCTCAGCACCCTCACTCCCGCTTTGCTCCTCCTCCTGCCTTGTTGAACTGGGCTCTGAAGTGTCCATGATAGTACTCACAGTGGAGGTGGGGTCGCCCCCAAGTATCGCGTTCAGCTCTTTGTAGAAATGGCAGATCGCGGGGGCAGTACCGGAGTGGCGGTTTGCCTCGCGGGCTTGCGATAGGCATTCCACAGCTCCTTCACTTTAACCCAGCACTGCAGTGCATCCAGGTCCTGGCCCCTTTCCATCATGACCCTTGATATCTGCCCAAAGGTGTCGTAATTCCTACGGCTGGAGCGCAGCTGGGACTGGATAGCTTCCTCCCCCCAAACACTGATGAGGTCCAGCACCTCGCCATTGTGCCATACTGGGGATCACCTGGCGCGTGGAGACATGGTCACCTGGAAAGATTCGCTGAGAGCACTCCACACCTGACTGAGCAAACAGGAAGGGGATTTTCAAAATTCCCAGAGAATTTAAAGGGCAGGTATGGTGATTGGTCACCTGAGGGCAGGGCAGTAGAGTTCAAACTGATGACCAGAGTGGCTAGAACAGGCATTCTGAGACACTTCTGGAGGTCGATCAGAGCGCATTAACAGATCAGGGCATCCACACTGGCGCCACGGAGCTCCAGCGGGGGCGCATCAAATGTTATTCCACTCGCCGAGATGGAGTACCAGGAGCGCTCTAGCCGCGGAGTCAGAGGGCTCTACGTGCCTTGCCAGTGTGGACGCGTCATGAGTTAGAGTGCACTGAGCTGCTTTAATGCGCTCTAACTCGCAAGTGTAGCCATGCCCTAAGACACCGGCAGTCCCACAGCCAGGTGGATTCTAGGGGGAATGTGTCTAAGCCACTGGAGCTCGAGAGGGCTGTGGCACTGGTTCCAGGGTCTAGGCAGCTGAAATACAGGATCCCACTGATAAAGACAGGTGCCAGACATATGGTCTGCACCTGAGACACACAGAGCTAGGAACAGTGAGCAGTCACTACCCAGGACCAGGGGGGCTTATAACAGCATGGATTCAACAGTTGGATCCAATCACAACAGACTGATGTCCATTCAGAGAGCAGGACTGGGCCAGGTTGTGACAACACGTAATCCTCTGGAAGAATACTGGTAAGAAAGCACAGAAGGACAAAAGACACACCGTACAGGATCTAAGACAGGGAATACCAGAACTAAACTAACAGATAAATATGTCCCATTTAAAAAGACCTTCAAACCACCCCAGCCAGCAGAGTTCCTATTTCTCTAATTGCTCTAGGAAGAAGACAGGCTTTCTTCCTTTTCCTTGGGGATCAGGTCAGGGAAGGCACAGCTTAACCCAGTTCTTAAGGCCCTTAACTTAGAGCCTTGTGTCAGAGCAACCAAACTTAGTCAGAAAACAAAGTCTTTAGGAGCTTGGCACTTGAAAGGACATACAATCCATTACACCAAACATTACAGTCTCCTCCCCACCACTTGCTCAGCTTCCTCTTACTTTTTATATGGCACACTCCTTGACTGGCTGTAAGCTCAGACTTTCCCTTAAGGGGGTAGTACACCCTACCACACACCCAAAATATTGTCAATGGCATAAGCTGAGAAGTGCTTTGTTGTGAAATAAACCTTTGTTACTTGGTTAGGAAGACCAACCTAAGTCATGCGTGGCTCCTCCATTTGTGAAGAATGTGTTCCTGGCAAAAACTTTTTAGCATTCCACACCATCACATTTTCTCTTCAGAAAAATGAAGCATTTGACATTATTTATTGTGAATTTTTGTTTTTTTAGGAGATAGTGCACTGAGTCCCTCTCATCAACCTTCACTTCTTGAGGGAGAGTATGTTACAAAACCATCACTCTCTTCATTAACATCTCAACCTACCTATGCTACCATCATGAGTAAGACCAGACGCTCTTTACAGGTAGGAAGTCACCTCCTGTAAGGTCTGAAATAGAAAACTAAAACCCACATCACATTGAGGTGTGTAGACAAATTTCACGTCTAAAAGACATAGATAACATTCTCACAGGACTCCAACTTCTGTATTGAGCCTTCAATGTTTGAAAGATGAAAACTCTCATACTTTAGCTCTCAGGATGTTTCGATAGACAAACCTTATTTTCAAAATTCCTAAGTGCTTTAGGAGCACAAGCCCTATTACTTTTCAAGGGGGGAGTGCTCTGAAGACACTTAGGTGCTTTGGAAAATCTCATCCTTTGTGCTTTTAATACTTGAAACAAAGATATAAGAGACTGTGTGACAAGCAAGTTCTTTCTCTACATCAGTGTTTCTCAAACTGGGGGTCACGACCCCCAAAAGGCTATTGTAGGGGGGTTCTGAGATCACAAAAAATATTACTGGGGAAGGGAGAACTGAAGGGGGAGAAGGACTATAGCTAGGGTGACCAAATGTCCCGATTTTATAGGGACAGTCCCGATTTTTGGAGCTTTTTCTTACATAGGCACCTATTACCCCCCACCCCTTGTCCCAATTTTTCACACTTGCTGTCTAGTCACCCTAACTATAGCAACTGAGGCTTTCCACCCGCCCAGCTCTGAAGGCAGTGCCGCTGCCAGAAGCAGCACAAAAGTAGGGGTGGCAATACTATGAGTATGCACAGTAATTTGCTATCACTTTTTTGGGGGGTGCGGGGGGAAAAAGGGGGATTCATCATAGCCTGAAAACTTTTCAAAGGGGGGGCCCAGCAAAAAAAGTTTAAGAATCTCTACTCTACATGATTGATCTATGGGGGAGGGAGGAAACATTGGCAAAATAAAGTTACTAATACCTCATTGTTTCTTTTACATATTTTATTTTGCAGAATGATGTATATTCAGCTGTTGATGAGACTGTTTTGGACAAAAAGCCTAGTGGGGAACATGAACTGGGTAAGCGCTGAGCTCTCTCTCTCTACAGCACAGTGTTCAACATGCCTGTAGTATTATGCCTGCAGCTGTTTTTGTGGCTATGGTTAGGGCTGCACAAATCTTTCTATTAGACCCCTGGTTTTCAGTGATTTATAACTTTCCAAACCTCTGCTTTTTGGCTGAATTTATTTCAGCACTTGTTGTGCTAAAGAGTGATATTTCAACAAGAAATGGTCCATCTGTTTTCATAGACAAGGGAATGGAGGGAAATAAACTTGTCGGTTTTGATTGTTTAATATTTAAAAATATTTTTGACCTTTTTTGAAATTTGGCACCTCAGCTGGAAATGGAACTATATGCTGGATTCCATCTGTAGGGTTGACATTTGCCTCTTAGTGGCCCTGTGGGAATCCATTTGGATTTGGCTTAGTTATTTGGCCTTGAAAAGCACTCATGGCAGTAGGCCTGGCACAAAGGTGCGTGGATTTAGGCAATCTTCAATTAATTTTGCATACATTAAGTCCAGCTGAGCCAAACATCCATCTGGAAGGACTGCATGTCTCAGTGGTTCAAAACACAAGGGCTGCTAAAAGCGATCGCCTGCTGGTTTCTCCTGTTTAGCCTAGGAAAAGGAGCACTCTGCTGGGAACTACGTGGTCCTGAGTTCTAGCTGGATTTCTTCCAAGGACTCACCTAAATACTTTACAACTCATGTTTAGAAAAGCATCTCACTAGAGCTGGGCAAAATTGCTTTGACAATTAGTTTATTTGCAGAAAAATAGAGTCGCAGGGTGACTGAAAATATTTGCATATTAGGCAAATTGTTTTGGCTGAAAAAATGAAAACAAATTTCATAAAGATCTAAATATTTAGTTTCAACATTTTCTCAATGAAGTGTTTTGACTTTTTGTTACAAAATGACCATTTGTTTAGAAATGTAGCTAGATTTATTTTTTAAAAACCCACAAAAATAAAAGGGTAAAAATACCCCAAACCAAACAATTTATTTGACCTTGTGACGGGGCCCACTCACCTCTCCTGAGCACCTTCTGTTGGCTGGATGCGAACCTGCACTATTTTTGACAGCACTCCATTGGCTGTTGCCCTCGTCAGGCAGGTCTTTAGTGGCTTAGCCCCCCAGCTGGGTCACATGTTGTCTAACTCATGAAGGAAGCCCTATTGTTCTGCCCTTGTTGGTGTCTGCAGCCCTGTCTCTGGGCTCAATTCTCAGCTCCTTCTGGGCTAGCTTTAAAGTCTGTCCTTGCCCCGTTATAGAGCAGTACCCGCAGAGCTTTCTCCCTTGAGACTCTGTGCCTTTAAATTCTAGCCCTATCCTTGGTCTTCTGAATGAAACTTGTCCCCTTCTCGGGGCTTTGGCCACTATTCCAGTGGAGAGAACGCAGGCCTGCCCACTACTCTGGGGCCCAACCCAAGCACCCTACAAATAGCAACCATGTGCTGCTCCCTTTAATAGTTGCTGCTACTATTCCCTGTAGCCTCTTTCTGTTCCCCTTTACCTCAGGGTTTCTCTGGTCCCTGCTTGAGCAGGGCTGCTTTACCTGTGGAGTTTTACAGCCTTCCAGTCCTTCCTCACCTTTCTGGTCCTAGCCAGCACCTGAGTTGCTCAGGCCCAAAAGCTCCTTTTAACTGAGCCTGCTGTGCTCTGATTGGCTGCTTCCCTGCAGCCTGTCAAGACAGACCTGAAGGACCTGCCTTGATTGGTCTTTTCCTGGGGCGGGGTGTGGTAGGACTATGAGGCCTCTAGCAGGGGCCTCAAAGGGCCTGGTACATCCCATCACAGACCTAAAAAAAATGTCCCTCTTGGGTCAACCCAAAATGAATTTCATTTCAAATTTTTCAATTTGGTCACCAAATCGGAAAAATCAATGACTTGCTCAGCTCTATACCTCACATCACCCCCAAAAGGGAGAAAATATTATTCACTCTCATTTTATAAACTGTGCAATTAAGTCTGAGAAAAGGTATGTGACTTGCTCAAGATCACACAGGAATTTTCTAGCAAAGCCAGAACCAAGCTCTTTTATGAGATGTATGCAAATCTCATCCATTAGTCAACTCAGAAACTATGCATCATATCCATATGCCTGGCTCTGCTATCTATAGAAATTGGAATTCTTATTTGTACCCAACGTTACAAAGTGTTTTGAGATCTACAGATAAAGCAATACTAGTATGCAAATATCATCATTGAACATCATCATTGGTCACATGTTTCAGACTGAATAATTCAACATGGAGAAGTTCAGTACCATGGCTGGAAGCACAACTCTAGTGGCTGAGAAAGATCAGAATCCATTTCTGATGCTAGGGTCTGACACTTCTTTAATGGGCTATTTCATCAGCACTTTGCACCAAAGTTTGCTGCAAAGGTAGGATTAGCTTCCTAAGCACGAATGGAATATGTAACTGCATTGTGTACATATCTTGCTAGGTGTGCAGTGAATGAGGAGGGATGTTGTGTGCTTTAATTATCCTGTTTGTAAAACGGGGCTACTCCAGATACTTATATCCACCATCAGTTTTGAGATCCACAGATGGAAAACACTCTGTAAATGCCTGCATGATTATGCAAGCATATGAAAATGTTTATTCAAAGTACTGTTTCTCAGTGCTCTATTAGCTCTGTGTATATGCGCTCAAAAAAGGGGTAAATTTCACCCTGAGTGCATATATCTGCAGCATTGAGGTTTTAATGTCTATCAAATTGTTCCAAATTGGTGGAATTTGTTTGTTTTATTGATTTTCTGTTTTTAAGTACCTAGGAAATTCCGTATCAAAAACTAAAATAAAAGAATGTTAAGTAGCAAAATGAAGCACCCCTTACTTTATAGCCATGTGTCATGGGGTGCAGCCCTCATCACCAGACTGGCACCTCCTCCTGGTCATACTGGGGGTTAGCTACAGACCGACACCCACATCCGTGGTCTGCACACCGGCCCTCTATCTCTGCTTCCACCTACGGGGCTCCTCTCTTAGCTCCCAGAACTGCAGCAACCTCTTCTTGATTCAGCCCTCCGGTTAGGTTGTCATCTGTGTTTCCCCTTCTGGGGGTAGGCATCCCTGTCTAACAGTCCAGCCACTTCCTAGTGGCAAGTGTGGGGGACCCATACCTGCCCATTACTCTGGGCCCCAACCCAGGGACTCTGTAAATAGCAGCCTCCTGCTGTTCCTCTGTAACCTCGGTCAATGCTGCTCTATTCCCCTGGGCCACTTCCCCATGGCCCCAGCACGTTCTTCGCCCTTATTTCAGGGCCTCAGCTGTTCAGTCCCAAGAGCCAGCCACTCCTCTGTTAGGGTTACCATACGTCCGGTTTTTCCCGGACATGTCCGGCTTTTCGGCAATCAAACCCCGGTCCGGGGGGAATTGCCAAAAAGCCGAACATGTCCGGGAAAATGCCGGCCGGGCACTTCCCCTCCCGCGGCGGCTCTGCTCCTCCCCTGACTCTTCGGCTCTGTTTAAGAGCCGAGCTGCCCGAGCGCTATGGGCTTTAGGTAGCCCCCTTGCCTCCGGACCCCAGCCGCCGGCCAGGCACTTCCCCTCCCGGGCTCCAGCGGCGCAGGGTCCGGAGGCATGGGGGCTGCCCAAAGCCCATAGCGCTCGGGCAGCTTGGCTCTTAAACAGAGCCGAAGAGTCAGGGGAGGAGCAGAGCCGCCGCGGGAGGGGAAGTGCCCGGCCGGCATTTTCCCGGACATGTTCGGCTTTTTGGCAATGCCCCCCGGACCGGGGTTTGATTGCCGAAAAGCCGGACATGTCCGGGAAAAACCGGACGTATGGCAACCCTAACAACGGAGAGGCTGGGCTTCTTGGCAT